TGGCTTTTCTATTGCTAGTTGCTATAATTTGTTGAGAGTTAAGCAACCGAAAGTTAATTGGCATAGGCTAGTTTGGTCAAGTGGAAATTTTCCTCGGCATAGTTTTATTCTATGGTTGGTTGTGCGTGGTAGATTGAAGACTAAAGTCTTATTGTCATCTAGGGGTATGATCATTGATCTAGAATGCTGTTTTTGTGGGGTAAGTATGGAAAACATTGAGCATCTTTTTTTCCAGTGTGAATTTCCCAGAAGTGTTTGGAAGTTTGTCTTGGGTTTTTTTCAAATTCAGAGGGAACCTTTGTCTTGGACAAATGAATGGAGATGGATACTACAACATGGAAGAGGAAGAGCTATTATTAAGAGGAAGTTCCGTGCTGCACTAGCTGCCTCAATATACTACATATGGCAAGAGCGGAATATGCGGTTGTTTAAGGACAAATCAAGTACAGTAGATAACATTAATAGGAGAATTTCTTACTTTTTGAAATTGCAATTTTGAGTATTTAGAGGATTTAACCCTGGGTATGCCTGGGTGATTATTTGTGGATATGTGGTTTACATGCAATGGAAAAGCTTGCCTTTTTTCCAAAAAACAAATAAAAAACTTAAAAACCAAACATTCAAAATTACAATCACATACTAAATACTAAATAAAGTTTTAAAGTATAAGATATATTCCAACCTATCTTGCATAGTTCTTAACTTGTTGGTAGGCTTAATTAATCCAAAACTAATCCCAACATCGTAGTTTCTAACACCACCTCTGTGTCTTGAATTCAAGGCCTTATAAGTAGTAATTGCATGGTGATTGATACACCTATCGATATAGTATGTTGTATAATATATTTATTAAAAAATTATTATTTTTTAATTTAAAATTAAAAGTAAATAAATTTAAAAATATAATTATGCATATAAAATATAGAAATTGATTAAATTAATTATATTTATATCGTATTTTAATACCTAAATTGAATGGATATCGAAATATGTGCCTAACTAGAAGAAGTATTAATTATTTTCCAAAGCAATTAAAACTACAAGATAGTTCTCGCCAGTGTATCTATCTTTACTAATAACCACAGTTGCTAACAAAACAAGCAAATTACAAAAACATCGTAATCTTCGTTTTTTTTTATTTTTAGATTTTATTGTTTGTTTATAAAAGGATTACAGTGCCTTTGTATTCTTTTTAAGCGGTTCAAAACAAAAAATTCAGAAAATGTAGTTTTAATACTTCCTTTTAAAAAAATGGAAATTGTATATTAACTTCTAATCCCATGATCACGAGGTAAAGTCTTGGTCCTTTCATTAAATCAACTTCATGGTGAATCAACTCCTGTCATATTATTAAATTTCCTTGAACTAAGTGGCATATCAACGACATCGTACAAAGTTTGCCCCTTTACAAATCGGCTGAATTATTGACTAATCACCTGAAGTTATTGGTCATGTTTGGTTGGTGATAATAACTGTTTTTTGAGTCAAATTATAAAAACAAACTAAACTGCAGAAACTCTTTTAAGAAAACTAAACCTTAATATTATAATTTTTTTATTAAACTGAGGGATGAATGTAAACTATATATTCTTTCTATTTTCAAAAAATAAATATTTCTTGATTATTTACTAACATAAAAAGAAAATTAGAAATTAAAAATTAGCTACTATTAAAATTTAATAAAAAAATTTTAAATTTTAATTTATTTTTATAATTTGATTAGGAAATAACAACTCCACCTTCCAAAAAAAAGACCTATGGTAATGACATTTTAGGTCATAAAAAGATAACATGTGAACTTCTTTTTTTTTTTTTT